TAGAGAAAATGGGTACCAAAATTAATTTTCGTATTTTTAACTCGTGATTATTGACATTTATTGTAATATAAATGTAATTAAAATCCTACAAATTGGATTCTGGGCAATATTTGTATAATAATGTAGTTATTCAATAATTAAAATTTAATTTGAAGACTTAATTTTCTTTTTGTAATTTTGGTATAATTTTACACTTGGACATCCAAATGAAGCTTTTTTAAAAAAACAATAATGAATTACTAAAATCGAATTAAAAGTGTTTTTTTAAACATTTTTATTTCATTTAAAATACCCTCGTTGGGAATAGAAAATATGTTTATTTTAAAAATTTGCGCGTTTTATTTTCACTTCACTATTTTCTATATCTATATGCAAGTGAAAATAGTAAATAGAATTTTCTCGTGATTTAAACGTTTAATGAAACAGTATAAATTTTCCGATATTTATTTAACGTCTTCAGGGTCGAATTTTTTTTTGGTCTATTTATTATTGACAGTAACTAATAATTATAAAAAAAAGAAACATTTAAATAAATATTTCAGTGTTTATTATTTCATATAAAATTATTTCAATTTTCCTAAAAGCTTTGGATTTTTTATTTTTTTTTTTTATAAATTTCCATTAGAATTGTCAAATAAAAAACAAAAAACCAAAGAGAATGAAATGTTTGAATTTGTTTGAATTTGTTTGAATTCAAAAAGATAGCATTTATTTTCATTCATTGCGTGGACAGGCCACTGTCACAATAGTGAACTATTTAATCATTAAATAGCAAGGTCAGAGCATTAATCATGGCTTACATAATGCCGTATAATGATTACTATCACGAACAGGAAAACGAACGGTGTTTTCTGGTCAACGTCGATGGGCATGAGAACGAAAGAATGTTGATCAAGCCCCTCGGGTAATTAGACCCGTTTAACGAGCGAATTGATCGCAATCTTGGCTGGTAATTGTTTCGGGGCAAGTTAAGACGCAGATCGATAATGAAGACGGAGTTTGTTCTTTTTACCCTATTGCTTTGGACAATTTGCATGTCCTAAGACCCTCGTTCGAAGCAAAATTGAGAGAATTTTAAATCTTTGGAATTAAATTATTGAATTATTTTTGGTATTTTAACAAATTTAAATTTAGAAGGTCGAAACTCATAAACGTCAGTATATTATAATTTTGGAAAAAAAATTTGAAAAACCTTGAAAAAACCTTGAATTATTTTATGAACTTAAACTAATGTAAATTTCAAAATTAGTGGAAACGTGAAAACTCATAAACGTCAGTATATTATAATTTCCAAAAAAAATTTTTTAAACTTGAAAAAACCAAGAATTATTTTAAGAAGTTAAACAAATGTAAATTTAAGAATTAATGCAACGTGAAAACTCATAAACGACAGTATATTATAATTTTGGAAAAAAATTTGAAAAACCTTGAATTATTTTATGAACTTAAACTAATGTAAAATTCAAAATTAGTGGAACGTGAAAACTCATAAACGTCAATGTATTATAATTTTGGAAAAAAAAATTTGAAAAACCTTGAAAAAACCTTGAATTATTTTATGAACTTAAATTAGTGTAAATTTCAAAATCAATACAACGTGGAAACTTATAAATATCAGTATATTATAATTTTGGAAAAAAAAATTAGAAAAATTTTGAACAAACTTTAAATTATTTTATGAACTTAAACTAATGTAAAATTCAAAATTAGTGGAACGTGAAAACTCATAAACGTCAATGTATTATAATTTTGAAAACAAAATTACAAAAACCTTGAAAATACTTGAAAAAACCTAGAATTATTTTAAGAAGTTAAACAAATGTAAATTTACAAATCAATGCAACGTGACAACTCATAAACGTCAGAATATTATAATTTTGAAAACAAATTTGAAAAACCTTGAAAAAACCTTGAATTATTTTATGAACTGAAACTAATGTAAATTTCAAAATTAGTGGAACGTGAAAACTCGTAAATGTCAGTATATTATAATTTTGAAAAAAAATTCTGAAAAACTTTGAAGAAACCTTAAATTATTTTATGAACTTAAACTAATATAAATTTCAAAATTAGTGTAACGTGAAAACTCATAAATGTCAGTATATTATAATTTTTTTTAAAAAATTTGAAAAACCTTGAAAAAACCTGAAAAACCTAGAATTATTTTAAGAAGTTAAACAAATGTAAATTTACAAATCAATGCAACGTGAAAACTCATAAACGTCCATATATATTATAATTTCCAAAAAAAATTTTTTAAACTTCAAAAAACTTAGAATTATTTTGAGAATATCACCAAATATAAATTTAAAAATTAGTCGAACGTAAAAACTCATAAACATTAATTTCACAAATTTGTGAACGTAAATACCAAGACAATTAAATAATAAATAATAATAAATTCCAAACTTGGAAAAACCTAGAATTATTTTAGAAATTTAAACAAATGTAAATTTAAAAATTAGTGGAACGTGAGAGCCCATAAACATTAGTTTTATAATTTTATAAGTATAAATTGTCAAAGTTGACGTTGAAAATGGCACAGTAAATTACGAAAAATGGTTGTTAAATGGAAACATAAAATCTTCTTTTCGTCTGAAATGGTTCCCAACGAACTGTATTTGCGATATGATAAGTGTCGTGTCTCAGTTTCACCAGGGTTTAATTAGATATATTTATGGGACCCCGTGGGCCAGGGAAATGGTAGTTTGACGCTGTTTAAGGGTGAAACTCGACACCATCGTTAGCATAACGAACAAGTTTGACTAACGCGTTTAGGGAGATATTTACTGCGTCGTAGTCTGTCGCAAAAACTTTTCTAACACTGTGCAAATTCTTACAAAATCGACTCTTCAAAAATTTATATAGGATCTGATACATAGCTATAAAATATTATATTATTTAGCTATAAAATTATTTTGAAAAAATTCTTTTCGGTTGCAGGGGACGATTACAATTATTTTTGGTGATTAGACATATCCTCGAAATCCTACGCATTTTCGAGAAAAAAATTCCTAAACGAAAATATAATGTCTGATCATGAATGAATGATTTTCCTGAAATTTCATGTGTTTCAAATTGGTCTGAAAAAATTATTGTCGGTTGCAAAGGTCAATTACAATCATTTCTGGTGGATAGGTATGTTCCCGAAATCCTACGCATTTTCGAGAAAAAAATTCCTAAACGAAAATATAATGTCTGATCATGAATGAATGATTTTCCTGAAATTTCATGTGTTTCAAATTGGTCTGGAAAAATTATTGTCGGTTGCAAAGGTCAATTACAATCATTTCTGGTGGATAGGTATGTTCCCGAAATCCTACGCATTTTCGAGAAAAAAATTCCTAAATAAAAATATAATTTTTGGCCAGAAATGTACCCCAGATGCGAATCTTTAAAATATCATAACTTTTGAACGGATTGTACGATTTTAATGTTTCAAATTGCAATCAACGTGTATTTTGGTGAAGAATATGTAAAAATTCTAACAATATTGAAGAAGTTATTTTTTGACCCCGAAAAGTGAGAAAAACTCCATAAAACAGGTCACAATTTTCAAACTGCCATAACTCCTACAATAGTGAACGTATCTCATTGAAATTTAGCATGGATGTAGAGCTAATGGATACTTACCAAAAAGTATTACACAACTTTTTCATGCAGCGTCAATCAAATTAGTTACAAATGAAAAACGAATTATTAAGAAAAATCGACAGGATTTTAGGTGCCTAAATTTTTCGACGAAAAAGAAAATTTCAAATCGTTCTGGAAAAATTATTGTTGGTTGCAGGGGTCAATTGCAATTATTTTTGGTGAATATATATACCCTCGAAATCCTTCACACTTTCGAGAAAAAAATTCGAGTAGGTGCCTAAATTTTTGGGCAAAAATGAAATGTTTCAAATCATTCTGAAAAAATTATTTTTTGTTGAAGTAGTCAATTGCAATCATTTTTGGTGAATACACATCCCTCCAAATTTCTACGCGTTTTCGAGAAAAAAATTCGAGAATATGGATAAAATTTTCGGTTAAATTGGAAAATTTCAAATCGTTCTGAAAAAATTATTTTCCGTATAAGGGGTCAATTGCAATCATTTTGGGTGAATACACATACCCCCGAAATCCTTCCCAGTTTCGAGAAAAAAATTCCTAAACGAAAATATAATATCTGATCATGAATGTGATTCCCCTGAAATTTCATGTGTTTCAAATCGTCCTGAAAAAATTATTTTCGGTGTAAAGGGACAAATGCAATCATTTTTGGTGAATAAACATACCCCCGAAATCCTACCCATTTTCTAGAAAAAAATTCGAGAAGTTTAAAAATTTTTCGACAAAATTAAAAAATTACAAATCGTTCTAAAAAAATTATTTTTGTTTGCAGGAGTCAATCATAATCATGGACGTTTTCATTTAAAAAAATTCAAATCCTGATAGAACAGTGTTCCTTAAAAATTCAAACGTGTCACACACTATTGTGTTAGGTAATAAATAATATAATATAATTTATATAATATAAGAATATATATTGAATAAAGCTTAAACATGTAATTAAAATCCTATATTGATTAAATTTCGCTGATATCCTTTTTCATCATTTAGCCACTCTTACTTTTGTCCCCAACTGTACTTATCGTTTGCAAGAACAATACTGGTCAAATTGAACACCCTGTATAAACAGTACGATTGATAAGGTTTCGATTTAACACGTTGACTGCCATTCTAAAATCCTAAAATTCTAAAATTGTCAACGGGACCGAAACTTTGATTTTAAACAATTGTAAATTACACAACTTAAAAGTTGTCACATTAAAATTTACGAAGCCTATTAAAATTTATTTTCTTTAACATTCTAACTTGCGAATTAATTGTTTTAGTTTCGCCGTTAAAAGTTCTGTCGCCCACATATGGGTGACGTGGCAGTCAAAGTGTTAAAAAGACCGAAATTGTTAATTTTATCCCGATTTACCGTAATCGATGGATCATTTTTCTGTTTACAGTTTCGATGTGGAAAATGGCGCCTCGACACTGGACGCTGGCGCTGGCGGCGGCGGTGGCGCCTCACCGAGCGCTGGCCTCGTCCTCCAAACTCTGCCACAACGGAGAGAGAGCTTCCTCTACCGCAGCGACAGCGATTTCGAGATGTCGCCGAAATCAATGTCGCGCAACAGTTCGATCGCCAGCGAAAGGTGAGGCTCGACAATCTTTCGTATGCTCGAACGATAGACGTGTGCGTATCTCGTGAACTGTCCTTTTTTTTTTCTTTCTTTCTTACCATCAGATGGTAGAAATACCCCGATTTGTAAATAGAAACATTTCATATTTTTGAAACAACTAAATTTAAATAATAAACCGCAGTTAAATATTTGGAGGGTGCATTGAACTTTCAGTGGAAACGGTCAGCCACGGTCAGACACTCGAATAACGTCCACGAGGTTACCAAATTCAAAAAAAAAAAATATTCTTTAGTTTACGAGTACGAAGAAAATTCAAATTATTTGTAACTGTGATTTGGTGTATTTGTGGGTGGAAAAAAATGATAGGTAATTTTTTAGTTTGTCACGGAAGGAAACGTTGCGGCAGGTTGGTCTGCATTTACGATAATTCGTTCATTGAGTTTGTCAGCTGTTTCGTATGCCCGCGAGGAATTCGTAATTACTGGTTATTCAACGCGAAACTATGGTTCATAATTAGGCGAGCTGGCTGTAATTTACGCCTACGTAAATCACGGGTTCTACTTGCAACGGGCGCCGTTAATGAGCCCGTTTATACAGAACGATGATAATTGGTATGTCGTAACGCGGCATGCATAGATTCGTAAATAATTAAAAGGTAATTACAAAATAAATGCAAGCTGGGTATCGTGTCGCTTTATCGGCTATTCGAGACCAACACGCGAACTATATTATCTTGTATCGTCTGTTTCATCGACTCGTCGATACTATCGAACATTTCGATCATAGACGAGATATTCGAGTCGACTTTTCACCCTATTTCGTGGTCCAATCTGCAATACCGACCTGGAAAATTTGAGGGTGATCTTAGCGCCCTCTTCTCACAGATAACGGTCAGTTGAGAAACTATTAGGATTGTTGGGCAGACAGATTTAGGCTCTGTGGGTAAATACGTAAAAACGCAATTTTCAAACGACCATAACTTCTGCAATAGTGAATATATTTCAATGAAATTTATTTGCGAAGTAGAGCTCGTAGGTACCTACAAAAAAGTATTACACAACATTTTTGTATCGCGTCAAACAAATTTATTAAAAATGATAAACAATCGACAGGGGGATAGCTGCTGAAATTTTTTGGCGAAATTAAAAAATTTTAAATCATTCTAAAAAAATTATTTTTGGTCGAGGGAGTCAATTACAATTATTTTTGGTGAGCAGGCATACACCCGAAATCCTACGCGTTTTCGAGAAAAAAATTCAGGAAGGGGGATAAATTTTTCGGGGGAAATTAAAAAATTTCAAATCGTTCTAAAAAAATTATTTTTGGTCGTGGGAGTCAATTACAATTATTTTTGGTGAGCAGGCATACACCCGAAATCCTACGCGTTTTCGAGAAAAAAATTCAGGAAAATGGACTAATTTTTAAAATTTGTGAAAAAATTTCTAATCGAAAATATAATATTTGGCTTGGAATGTTTCTGTAATTTCATTTTCTGTCTCACTTCCTGTTGTGTTGATTTGTGTAATCTGTTGGTAACGTTGCGAGTGACACGAAAATGGTAATGGGGCTCTAAAGTGTCATAAAAATGGGCTGAAAAAATACATTAGGTGAAAAGTCTACTCGTATATCTCGTCTGTGGTCGATGCTATCGAACATTTCGACTCTCGATAGGTGCGTATCGAAACTGCATTACCGGCTGCGGAGAGTTCGTCATCTACAATACCGACCAAGAATATGAAAACACGATTGTACCATCGGTTGATAACGCCACTCTGTCGATATCGTAATAAATTACTATTGGTGGAGTATATTTAGTACATCTTGTCTGTAGATAAAGCTATAATCTGCTTTATCGCGTGGTATTACAGGCCCAGATAAAGTAGAGTTCCTTCGAACTTCGAGTTGAATAAGAGAAACCATCTAATGGTAAAGTAGAGTTCTTCCTTAGATTCAAACTATTCGAAATGGAAGAATATATTAAATTTACTATCTTATAGAATTACGAAGCATCTTTTTTCTTTATAGTTACTTTTATAGTGTTTTCAAAAAATAGATGACAAAGACAGTTCCTTGACTGTGTATATTTGTATATAACTACATTTGTTACAATATTAACATAAAGTGTAATCGTTAGTATACTATTCTGTCTATAATAAATTCGTCATAACTCTATTAATTTAGGATTGAACAATAATTCTTCTTGTGCTTTGGATATCTGACCGTGGTTGCACCAGTACCGTTATGGACCTACTTCCCTGACAACTTAACAGTAATTATCACCCGTTTCCCTTTAACGTGTAAATAAAAATATTGACTGTTTTTCAATTTTGTATAAATGTTTTTTATTTCCACCATGTGATGTGAACGTATTAATTTCAATGGGTATGTTTTGCATTTTGTCACAGTGTTTCCAAATTCCAACGATACGTGGCCAATTGTAATTGAGAAATTTTCGCGGAAGAAAAGTGTGCTTTAGAGAAATCAGAGAATCGTTGCACATAGTGGCGAATCGCGTGTTATTGCGTTACTCGTTTCAAGCTTTCGATGCAGCAAGGCGTGACGAATTAAAAAAAAATTTCAAAATTTTAATTTACGAATCAAAATATAATTGTCTCGATATTTAATTTCCTCGAATATAAAATATTCAATTCCCTATTCGTATCTATTCCCAACTTTTATTTCGTCTTTTTATTTTTAGTATCGCGATAGATTACGATAAAAATATGGAAATTAAAAAATTGCTAAGATAACCTAACTTTTTGATCCAAACGCCAAATTTGTCTCGTTTAGCTATAAAGTTCATTTTCCTCTTTATTTAACGACACTTTGTCGCGTTCACGCCTTGCTGCGTATTCGAAATGACTTTATTTTTAACCTCTTAGGCACGATGCGCCATTTTGGTTACTTTCGCGGATGTCGTCTTCTTGAACGACGCGCCATTGTGGCTCTGACTAGTGGCGCCACTGCAGTGGTTCAGTCTAGTGGCGCCACTGCAGTGGTTCAGTCTAGTGGCGCCACTGTAGTGGGTCTATCTAGTGGCTCACTCTAGTGGCCAGCTCGTTCACTGTTCGAGTCAAGTGATCGTTTCAATATTTTGTTTCACATTATTCTTGCCTTTGCAGTGTTTTATAACAGTGTTAACAATATTGTTATGTATATACAGAGTGTACAGTCTTTGTTTTGGTTTTCCAGTGTCAGTGTAATTCGAATGAACAGTATTATTGTCCCGCGTAAAATTCAGCCGTGTCTAAGAGGTTAAGCCGCGAGCAGTGGGTGTGGGGTGTGACGATATCATGTATATGATCCTTGGGTTCCAGGTTCAAAGAGACCGAGCTTCCTGTTGAGCGAGCGTATGTACTCGATCCATATTATTTATTATAAATCTCGTTTTACTTCACATATACCCACAACACACTCACAAGACTAATCGACACCACGTGTCGCGTTAATTAGCCGCTGTGAAATCGATTCGATTCGCTGTCTGTCAACGCCTTCGTCCAAATCCTTCTCCCGCCACCTGTGCATTGAAAATCGAATTCTGGCGTGCATGGGAAAGTCTGTCGTTTTGTTGGAGTGACGTTTAGTACGACTGCTTGACAAACGGAGTGGGGGAAATTTTATTCACGAACGACGATATTTCAATTCTAGATTCCGTTGTCCACGCTTTGTAAATAGATTTAGTCGAAAATCGGAGTCCATTAACGTCCAATCGTGAAATCTAACATTTTAGAGTAATTGTGACTGGAATGCTGAATAATAATGTTTGCTAAATGATAGTTTTTAAACTAATATGTTATTTGCATTCTCTAGAGTGTGTGGAACAAGAATATCAAGTAAACGAAAGAAATATTTGTATTGGTTATGTAAATATTCTAATCCAAACCATTTCAAACCTTTTCAAACCGTTTCAAACCACTTCAAACTGCATAAATGGTAATTTTCTATAATTCAGAAATCATGTCATTGTTAATATAGAATATTTAATAATATTTGAAGCAAAGGTGGTCGCTAATTTCAAATTTGTACCGTTTCAAACCGGTTCAAACCGCTTCAAACCACTTCAAACTACATAAATGGTAAGTTTACATCATTCAGAAATCACGTCATTGTTAATATAGAATATTTAATAATATTTGAAGCAACGGTGGTCGCTAATTTCAAATTTGTACCGTTTCAAACCGCTTCAAACCATTTCAAACCGTTTCAAACCACTTCAAACTACACAAATGGTAATTTTCCATAATTCAGAAATCACATTATTGTTTATATAGAATATTTAATAATATTTGAAGCAACGGTGGTCAACAACTTTAAATCTGTACCGTTTCAAACCGATTCAAACTGTTTCAAACCGTTTCAAACTGTTTCAAACCACTTCAAATTTGGTAAATGGTAATTTTTCATAATACATAAGTCAGATCATCGTTAATATAGAATACTAAACAATATTTTACATACAGTGGGTGTAAAAAGTATTTGTACAGTGATTAATTACAACTAAAATGCTGAATAATAATGTTTATTAAACGATATTTGTTAAATAAACATGTTAAATGTATTCTCCAAAGTCTGCAGAACAACAATATTTTGGAGTTCTAAAGACTTTGGAGAATTCATGTAACATGTTTGTTTATAATAAAAACTATCGTTTAATAAACATTATTATTCAGTATTTTAGTTGTAATTAATCACTGTACGAATACTTTTTACACACACTGTGTGTGCAACAGTGTTTAGTATTCTATATTAATGATGATCTGATTCCTGTATTATGAGGAATTACCATTTATGAAGTTTGAAACGGTTTGAAGTGGTTTGAAACGGTTTGAACCGGTTTGAAACGGTTTGAAACGATACAGATTTACAGTTGGTGACGACCGTCGCTTCAAATAGTGTTAAATATTCTATATTAGCAATGATGTGGTTTATGAATTATGGAAAATTACCATTTATGAAGTTTGAAACGGTTTGAAGTGGTTTGAAACGGTTTGAACCGGTTTGAATCGGTACAGATTTAAAGTTGGTCATGACCATCGCTTCGAATATTCTTAAATATTCTATATTAACAATAATATGGTTTCTGAATGATGTAAACTTACCATTTATGTAGTTTGAAGTGGTTTGAAACGGTTTTTAATGGTTTGAAACGATTTTAAACGGTACAGATTTAAAGTTGGTGACGACCATCGCTTCAAATATTCTTAAATATTCTATATTAACAATGATGCGATTTCTGAATGATGTAAACTTACCATTTATGTAGTTTAAAGTGGTTTGAAACGGTTTGAAACGGTTTTTAATGGTTTGAAACGATTTTAAACGGTACAGATTTAATGTTGGTGACGACCATCGCTTAAAATATGGTTAAATATTCTATATTAACAATAATGTGATTTCTGAATTATGAAAAATTACGATTTATGCAGTTTGAAGTGGTTTGAAATGGTTTGAAGCGGTTTGAAATAGGTCAAATTTAATTCGTTATTCGTGAAAAAATTTTGCTCCACTTTGTTTAAGATCTTCTGGTAAAATGGGCATTATTTGTGAATTTTTGACAAAAGAATCGTGAAATATTTCGAAATGAGTGTGTTTCGTTCGCTTTATTATTCATCTTCCGAGAATATACATAAATTTTTTTTAGCAAAAAATAGTAAAAAATTACTAGAAGACTCTAGTTTGCCTTCGTTTTACGCCGAATCGATTAGTAACCGCTGCTTGGCACTATAAAAATCGAAATAAATTTTATAGTAATTTTATTAATAATATAATTATATTATTATTAATTTTATTAATATAATAAACCAGTTCATAGTAATTTTACTATGCCTATATTTCGATCCAAATGACACTAATTCCGATCAACTTTTATTGACCAATTAAAATTTTCTCCAAAATTAACATTTCGTATCTGATTTTTTTTTTATTATTCAATATGTGTTTTTTATCAAATAAACTATTTTATAGTAATTTTACTATACCTATATTTGGATTGAAAAGACACTAATTCCGATCAACTTTTATTGACCAATTAAAATTTATCTCAAAATTAACATTTCGTATTTGATTTTTTTTTTATTATTCAATATTTGTTTTTTATCAAATAAACCATTTTATAGTAATTTTACTATACATATATTTAGATCGAAAAGACACTAATTCCGATCAACATTTTTTAATTGATTAAAATTTTCTTCAAAATTAACATTTCGTATCTGATTTTTTTTTATCAAATAAACCATTTTATAGTAATTTTACTATACATATATTTGGATTGAAAAGACACTAATTCTGATCAACTTTTATTGACCGATTAAAATTTATCTCAAAATTAACATTTCGTATTTTTTTTTTTTATCATTCAATATGTGTTTTTTTTATCAAATAAACCATTTTATAGTAATTCTACTGTGCCTCCATATCAGCAATTTTCCAGCAGTTTTTTTCGTCCCAGTAATTTTGCAATCGTAACGAATTCAATGGAATTGGGCCGATCAAATCGATTCTCGGAGCACACACACACACGCAAACAGAACGAAACAGCACAATTTCCTTTTGAAATTTCGACACGTTGTATTCCACTGACAATAAACTGCACAGCGTCGAAACAATGCCAATAGAAAAGGAAGAAAAGTTACAAACGAATCTAGAGAAATGCTAAAAAACAAATCGTTGCATTCTTTACTAATTTTAATCATTAGGTATCGTTATCGAGCAAGCAAGTAGCGTGTAAAATATTCAGTCAGCTTTCGCAAAGTTATTTAGAACGATAGAAAAAAAAAAAAAAGTGAAACAACGTTGATGTCTTTTGTTCCATTTTAATTTTTTTAGTCTGCGAGATACACGTAAGTTAGTACGATTAATTGCATGTCGAGCATAGTGGAACGTTTTCGAATAAAAATGAATTCTTATTTTCAGGATATTTACCGATCAGTTTAGGTAAGTCGCATTATTACATAATTTGGGTATGCTGCAATCGCTATAGTTGCAAACTGTACGCTTGGAATTTGGTTTTTTGAATTGCAGTAATTTGTCGTTGTGGGCCAGTTGTTTGTCAAGTGGTGAAGGTGTTGCAAATAAGAGCAACAAATTATTATGCAATAAAAAACTGTGGTATGCAAATGATAGCAAAAAAAGATAAATTTTCGATTTTTTTTTATACTCTGGATTCTTACGTATTTTAACGCGCCCATTACTAGTATGATAGTGAAACGCAAATTTTATTTTCATAGCTGAAATCATGAAAAAACGATAAAAATCATAGTTTTTTTTATTTATTTCCGTAAATAATGGGAATTTTGAAAAATTCTTCAGATAAAAGTTGTAGACCTCATAAAAATACAGATTTTATATCCTATTGATTTTTGTCATAAAGATGATAGTTTTCGAGAAAAATGTTATTAAATGTAACGTATGTAAATGGCATTGCAATGGAGGGTTGCTCCGCACAAGTGACGAATTACCAATCATTTTTCTCGGAAACTATGACCTCTATGACAAAAATCAATACGACATAAAATGTGTATTTTTATGAGCTCTACAACTTTTATTGGAAGTATTTTTCAAAATTTCCATTATTTACGGAAATAAATACAAAAAAACACACTCAAAGGATCATTTATGGAAAGAATAGTTTTTTTTAGGTTCAAATTTCGACGAAATTAATTATCACCGCGATAAATATCGAATGCAGCGTGAGTGCAGCGCGAGTGGAAGTGCACTGCGTGCAAATATTTTTATCTCGAGTAGAGCAAACACATATGATACGTAGTGCAACGTATTCACTTTGGCCAATCTGTCGTGGCAAGATTATGCTCGAACGCGTCGTCGACGAACTCGAGACGCGTATTATGCATTTTCATTTTCAATTTACCAGACGTCGTACGCCTTTACGGGGACTTGAATTTCCATTTCTTATCGTGCACGTTATTAGCTTACAATGTATTTACAATGGAGTCCCCACCGCCTTTATCGTGACGCTTCGCCTATCGTGTTCACGTATTATCCTAACTAGTTGTTATCCGCCGCTTCGCCCACGTCGAAATCGTCCATTTTGTACGTCGAAAATGTCCAGCGAACGCAGAAGCTTTCAGATAAAAAATATTTTCCAACGAGTTGGGTCAAAAATTGTAAAAAAAAGAAAAATTGTTTTTCTATTGTTATATGGGCCTGTGTAAAATATTGGAGGACGATATATAAATATATTACCTTTAAGTTGTATCGCAGGAAGGGATTTCTGATTTCTAAATTATGGGGAATTACCATTTATGTAGTTTGAAGTGGTTTGGAACGGTTTGAAACGGTTTGAAACGGTACAGACTTAAAGTTGGCGACCAATGTCGTTTCAAATATTGTTAAATATTCTATATTAACCATGATCAGATTTCTGAAATATGGGAAACTACCATATATGCAGTTTGAAGTAGTTTGAAACGGTTTGAAACGGTACAGACTTAAAGTTGGCGACCAATGTCGTTTCAAATATTGCTAAATATTCTATATTAACCATGATCAGATTTCTGAAATATGGGAAACTACCATTTATGCAGTTTGAAGTAGTTTGAAACGGTTTGGAACGGTTTGGAACGGTTTGAAACGGTACAGACTTAAAGTTGACGACCTGCTTCGCTTCAAATATTGTTAAATATTCTATATTAACGATGATATGGTTTCTGAATGATAGGAAAATACTATTTATGTAGTTCGAAGTGGTTTGAAACGGTTTGAAACGGTTTGAAACGGTACAGATTTAAAGTTGGCGACCACTGTCACTTCAAATATAGTTAAAAATTCTATATTAACAATGATGTGACTTATGAATGATAGGGAAGTACCATTTATGTAGTTTGAAGTGGTTTGTAACGGTTTGAAACGGTTTGAAACGGTTTTAAGCGGTTTGAAATGGTTTGAAACGGTGCAGACTTAAAGTTGGCGACCACTGTCGCTTCAAATTTAGTTAAATATTCTATATTAACGATGATCCAATTTCTGAATTATGGGGCGTTACCATTTATGCAGTTTGAAGTGGTTTGAAACGGTTTAGAACTGTTTGAAATGGTTTGAAACGGTACAGACTTAAAGTTGACGACCTGCTTCGCTTAAAATATTGTTAAATATTCTATATTAACGATGATATGGTTTCTGAATGATAGGAAAATACTATTTATGTAGTTCGATGTGGTTTGAAACGGTTTGAAACGGTTTGAAACGGTGCAAACTTAAAGTTGGCGACCACTGTCGCTTCAAAATTAGTTAAATATTCTATATTAACGATGATCCAATTTCTGAATTATGGGGGGTTACCATTTATGCAGTTTGAAGTGGTTTGAAACGGTTTAGAACTGTTTGAAATGGTTTGAAACGGTACAGATTTAAAGTTGGCAACTACCGTCGCTTCAAATATTGTTAAATATTCTATATCAACAATGATGTGATTTCTGAATGATAGGAAAGTATAATTTATGTTGTTTGAAGTGGTTTGAAACGGTTTGAAACGGTTCGAAACGGTGCAGATTTAAAGTTAGCGACCACCATCGCTTGAAATATTGTTAAATATTCTACATTAACTATATTCCAAATTCTGAATTATGGGAAATGACCATTTATGCAGTTTGACGTGGTTTGAAGTGGTTTGAAACGGTTTGAAACGGTACAGACTTAAAGTTGGCGACCACCATCGCTTCAATTATTGTTAAATATTCTATATTAACGATGATGTGATTTCTGAATGATAGAAAAGTACCATTCATGTAGTTTGAAGTGGTTTGAAACGGTTTGAAACGGTGCAAACTTAAAGTTAGCGGCCACCATCGCTTCAAATATCGTTAACTATTCTACATAAACTATGATCCAATTTCTGAATTATGGGGCATTACCATTTATGTAATTTGAAGTGGTTTGAAACGGTTTGAAACGGTTTGAAACGGTTTTTAAGTGGTTTGAAATGATTCGAAACGGTTTTAAACAGTACAAATTTCAAGATGGCGACTGACTACGCCTCACCAAAGATGAAATATTCGTGTAGTGTTCACTAATAAATAAATTTTAGATATGCAATACAAAAAAAATATGGCCACCATTACTTTGTACAATTTTTTGAGGTGCTATACTTTGCTTCAGTGTTGTCCATTTGCAATTTGACACCTTATACTCCCACTACCACTGAGTATCTTCTTCCAACTACTAGGTTATTTGTTTGGATCAGTTAAAATGAATCACCTTGTACTAACTGTGCAGTAAAGTCTCGTAAGTACCTTGCTTTCACTCGCGGCCATTTTCCACGCTTCTGAACCGTAATCAACGTGGACCCTGTTCGAGCATTGTTTCCGTAAACCTAATCTCAGTCAAATCCAAGCAATATCCGGGCAATTTCGCAGCCTCGAAAATTCCCGATAAAACGATAACGTTCCATGACAGTTAGATTTCCTCGATTCTCCTATAAATAACTATTCTTTCAATCCATTTTTAAACATTTTTTAATCAAACTTAAATTTTTCTGTTTGTTGTATACAGGGTGTTCAGTTAACCATGGGAAAAATTTTAATGGGAGATTCTAGTAGCCAAAATAAGACGAAAATCAAGAATACCAATTTGTTGATAGAGGCTTCGTTAAAAAGTTATTAACAATTAAATTAAAAATTTCAAATCGTCCTAAAAAAATTATTTTTAGCTAGGGGGGTCAATTACCATAATTTTTTCTCATTATACATACCCTCGAAATCCTACGCATTTTTGAGAAAAAAATTCAAGATAGTGGACCAATTTTTCGTCGAAATTGAAAAGTTTCAAATCATTCTGGAAAAATTATTCTCGGTTGGAGGGGTTAGTTACAATCATTTTTGGTCATTATGCATACCCCCGAAATCCTACACATTTTCGAGAAAAAAATTCCTTACCGAAAATCTAATTAAATGCCTAAATTTTTCGACCGGAAAAAAAAAATTTCAAATCGTTCTGGAAAAATTATTTTCGGTTGCGAGGGTCAATTGCAATCATTTTTGGTGATTAGACATATCCCCGAAATCCTAGTCAATTTCGAGAAAAAAATTCGAGAAGTTGTGAAATTTTTCGACCGGAAAAAGAAAATTTCAAATCGTTTTGAAAAAATTATTTTCAGTTGCGGGGGTCAATTATAACAATTTTTGGCGATTAGACATATCCCCGAAATCTTGCGCATTTTCGAGAAAAAAATTCAGTAAGGGCGGAACTTTAAATGTCAATAACTTTTTAACAAAGCCTCCATCAACAAATTGGTATTCTTGATTTTCGTCTTATTTCGGCCTCCAGAGTCCCTCATTAAAATTTTTCCCAGGGTTCGCTGGACAGCTTGTATTTACTTTGTGACGTTCAAGATTATTCGTAGAGAAGCTTATTTATTTACTGGTAACAGTGTTTTGTAACCTGTAGCTGTTACAAATCAAACAAGACGAGTTTAATTAATGCCACATTCCATCAAGCACTGTGACAGTTTAATGAAGTTGTTGACAACAATATTTTCTATTCGTCTCGAATGAAAATACTATTAAACGAGACACAATATTGTGGCATATCCGTTTCTGTTAACGATTCGCGAGTCTCTTTTACAATGTATGTGAAAAATATTGAAAATAACACGTGGGTTAGGATGGTTCTTAGATAGAGAAGTCAAAATTTTGTTTTTTTAGTGATACTCAATGAAGAAATCATTTCATTCACTAAAAATGATTGGTAATTAACACTCATAGCTACAAATAATTTTTTCGAAACGATTGGAAATTTTTTTTTTGGGGAAAAATTTCAGCAGCTCTCTCTACCCCCTGTCGAATTTACTTGGAAATTAGTTTTTGATTTTTAGTAATTTTGTTTGACGCCCTATAGAAAAGTAGTGTAATACTTTTTTGTAGGTACCCATGAGCTCTACTTCAGAAAAAAGTTTCATTCAATTATATTCACTACTGTAG